CGGAGCCCCAATTCGTCTTAAGACGCAGAGAAAAGTGAATGTGCCAAAAACAGTTAACAGCTAACATCGAGCGTTCGTGGGAAAATCGATAATGCCGTGGCTTGGCGCTTGTACCAGTACCCTGTTGCCATGCTTTTCATTCCGTTCGGATTGGCTCGCGTCTCGCCCACTTCTGCTTGAGGCTTCGGTATGACGACTCCAACTCGATGTGCCTATTTATGTATTCTGTGTCCGAGTGCATATCTTCGAGAAATTCGCAGCCTTTCTTGTATGGACAAGAGCCAACAATGCAGGTTTCGTCCCATGCAAGTTGGCGTCCAGTTTCTAATGGACTTCGGACAAGTGATATCGCCCCTTTACCGCTCGTTGATGTTCGCGTAAGTGCGTAAAGAGTGATCTTCCTGTCTTTCCGCAATAAACTGCATTCAGCCACCACAAGGGTTCTTGTAAATGACTTCTTTTCTGTTCAAATAGCCAACCCTATCCTTAGGGTGTACAAACTGATTTCGCAGAGTATTCCTCGGTTTGTGCGCCACTTGAATTTGATGCTTCCTCAAGCGTCTTCCAACGAGTTCGGACACGTTTTAATATATGGAAGCCGAACTCAATTACCTCTTCAAATTGTTAGCTGTTGACTGCTTTTGGTGCATTCACTTTGCTCTGCGTCTGAAGACGAACTGGGGTCCAGTTTCAAAAATTCACCCAATAAACGACCGGTTCCCAAAGTAATTCTTCTACTGAATTATGCCTCTTGGAATGCCGATTTTCAAGTTCATAAGTGTTAAGATAACTCGTTTGTTGTTAAAAGAAATTAACATGTTCTTAGCTAGCTGTTTGAAGGATCCACGTTAAGTTCTCAGCCGTCAACTTTTTACGGGCTCCGCATCCTCTGAATCACATTAGATGCCTCTCCGACACAAGTTAGTGAATGATGATTTTTTGACCTCTGATTTCTTTTTGGGACAGCATTCGCAACCGGTTCAAGACCTTTCACCACTACTCCCGATCCATAAACTACTAGGGGTCTCTGTCATAAAAACATAGCCTGTGCATAGCTTCCTAAATTTTGGTCTGTAGGCATCCTGCTTTGTCTTTTCATTCGTCTCCGTTCCACCAGTTTTTGCCAGTTCGTTTGCTGCACCACAAATAACTATTATTGACTTATTGACTCGAGGTTGGTTGGAGGATATTTTAACGCCTTCCGCCTTGATGTGGTCCTGGTTGGATTAGAAAAGTTGCGTTAGCCAACATCAATATGCTTCACTCGCACTAACTTACTACCTTTGACCATACCAATGGTAAATTTAACCCTACCACCTCCTCATGGACCGCGCTTTTATTATTCAGTTTCGCTGATTCCTGCTTCTACAGGACCACGGGGTTGCCGCTCCATTCTCATCTCCTCTACTCCGGGTTACGCCTTCATGTTTTGTTCTGTTTGCGTTCGTGCATGCATGCATGCACGCACGCTTCGTGCCAAGTCCTCCTTGCGACTTGAGCGGGCGTGCACCTGTTTACGCGTGTCTGCGTACATCGGCCTTGGAAGAAGGGTGTAACTGGAGGGCTTTGTTTTTGTGCAACTCATTGTCTCTATGGAACAATGTGGAGCAACTGAGCGCCAGTTCTATCTAAACGCACAAATTCACCGTCGGATTAGTCATTTTGTTGTCGTTGCTAATGCACGACTTTACAGCACCTCAGGTTGTCAGGTGCATTGAGTACCCTGACACCGTGTGGGTGCTTTCTCCGACTCCCTGGCCCTCCCTGTTTACCCCTCTGTCACTTTCTCGTTGTTGCTGCTGCGTGTACGCACCGGCCTCAGGTGGGGATCAAGGGGTGGGGATAGTTATTTCCCGGATCGAACAATAAGGATGAAAAAATAGAACATTTGTAGAGATACATGGCGGATCAAGACAACCAGAGTGGATTTATCCTTCCTGGCTTATTCTACCGTAACCAGCGATCACCTATGACTCGTTGAATTTAACTCCTATGGTAAAAGGCAAATGTCCATATTTATCCTACAATCCGCAGAGACTAGTGCACACCCTTCTCAACTGTTTGTAACCATCTTGAAAACGGCAACCGCTGGGGTCTCCCCGTCTACTCTAGTCACAGAAACTGAGGGGATGTGGTGCCTTAGGTAAGTGTCGATGAAGATTCATGCGCTGTACTATCGTCACTTGGTACAGATTTTTTATTGCTCCTGAGTACCGTCTACCGCTGGCTAGT